TAGGGTGTGCCTGTTTTAGGCCCCTTTTCCTGCCCTTGCGGTTTCCCCTGTTGCTTCCCTGTATTGGCTTGGTTGGGCCCTTCCCTTGTGGTTGGTTTCTTTTTTTTCTCTCTCTCCCTCTCTCTCTCTTTTTCTTTCTCTTCTTCTCCCTCTCTTTCCCCTCGGGGAGCCTTGGATTATTCTGGTTGATGTGGTTCGCCCCCAACCGAGCGCGTATTTAGCTTGCTTTTAGCGTTTAGTGTTTTATCTTGATAAGAGGGACCTCCCCCCTCTCTATCAAAAAAATAGGTGGTGTTTTTTATGTTTACAAAAACCATTTCCTATGGTAACCAATAACCATTTTGTACTAGCGAATGTGAGTGCCATATACTTGTTGGAAAATCCACTTCAACATCAACCTCCAAGCATATTGAACTTGACATACATTTCGTTCGTGAAAAGGTGGCAAGAGCACAAGCTTGGGTACTTTAAGTTCGTGCTCGTTTTCAATTCACCAAAGGGTTACCTAAACTATTGTTTGACGATTTCCTGTCTAATCTTCGCTTTCAAAAATCTCCCACTTTGATTACGGGGGACTAACAGGATAAGATCGGTTAATGCCACAAGTATATTAGATTAGCCTCATGTAATAATGATTAGAAAGGATATGTGGTGTATCTATATGGCATTCAATGGATTGACGGACACGGTGAAACACTTTTAATGTCTTTAGTATGGATCCAATATCTGATTTGAAATAAATTTGATTTGATTTAAAAACTGAATTGATTAAAGAGTGGGTTACCCCCAATCTGGCCCAAGAGTTGTTCGCTGAATCGGAACCCTTGTAAGCAATGTTTGGGCATAAAATTTAAGTTCTACGTGCGTCGTTCATCTGGTTAATGAAGAATCGAGCAATAAATGAGCGAGTAATCGCACAACAAAACAAAGAAGAGTTATCAGTGATTGTTCGTCGATTGAAGACGAGTTATTCCATTTATCTTGCAAGTAAAAATTCGTTAATGCTTCTTTACATGTAAGAGATTCTAAGGAGTTGGGGTGGGTCGTAATGATGGTTCAATAACCATCAATTTGGTAGGAGAATGTAAAAGGACGAAATTAACCCAAAATCAAGCACAAAAATTAGAAACTGGGACTCCATGGTTTGAGTTAACCGAGGTGTTTATGCCATTAGGTAACAATAATTATTTGATGCAAAAAGAATGATGAAAATTAAGAAAGTTCGACCTATAACAGGGCAAAATAGACCCTATGGCACTGCTAAATCGTGTTGGGTCAAATGAGACTGGTCTAGGTCAGATTTTAGGCTGAGTTGATCGAGGCGGGGCGGACCCATGGAAGGTTTGCGTGTGTTTTACTGTCGGAGCAACCCCTGCATGGAGGCTGATGGGCCAAAGCCTGGTTTGAGTTGTGGTTAGACATGGCCAAAAACCGGTTCCCAGCCCAAATCGGTCCCAGTCCTAAAATATTGATTCCATAACAGGTCCTGGTGTAACCGGCGGTTCCGTTCCCAATCCAAATACGAAGGCTCAGTTAAGGTGTATGAGGCCCGGTAGTCCTAGGCCCGGCCCAAACCGGTCCTATGTAAAAAAAAATTAAAATTCGATTTTTTTCATCTAATTCCTTTTTGAAGTTATTTTTAAACGAATTTGAATCCACAAATCCACAAATACATAAAACTACATATATTTTATTTTATATCAATAAATGTATATTTTTAATTACATGACAATTGAAAAAATAAAAATCAATCAACATATATCAAAATACGTTAAAATTTCTCAATCAATCAATATATCAATACATAATTAAAAATATATTAAATTAAGAACCAAGAGGTGGTTCATTGAGAAGTTTCAATCATATTTATCTTTTTTCTTCTTTATAAATGAAATTAGAATGTACATACATTTATTTTTATTTACATCAATGTATATAAATTTATATGTACATGACAATTGAAAAAATAAATCATCAAAAATCAACCAATATATATCAAAATTTCTCTATATATCAACATATATTTAAAATATATTAAGATAAGACCAAGAGGTGGTTCAATAAAAAATTTCAATCATATTTATCTTTTTTAAATGAAATTAGAATCCACAAATATATAAAATACATATATTTTTATTTATATTAATACATACATAAAAAAAGGTTCAAACGAGAACGCTAATTATTTAAGAAAACAAGAAAAATGTCGTTAATGTACAAACTCACATGTGATTTTACATTAAATTGAAGCGGGCAACTTTTGAGGTCAATTAAGTCGCAGGGTAAAGTCGTTTGGATCTTCTATGATTTGTTACGTGAATCATATATGATTTTGTACATTTCATATAATGCAATTATATGATGAAATTAATTGAAAAAGTTTAAAGGTCTTCACTAATTTCTTAAGATGCAACATGTGTTAGCTCTCTCTATCTTACATATAAAAGAAAACCATGATTGTTGACATTAATTGCAAACTTCGATGTTCATAATTCTTGACATACAAGACGTTTACGCTTCTCTCTCTACTAGGTAATCGTTTTGTTTTACGAGGTTAGTTATGTATAATATAAATATCTTTTGGGCTTTCTTTAATTTATTTGTTTTATATGTGTTAAAACAATATATTATAGGTTGGTTTTTTATGATATTCTTGATAATTCATTTTCTTATTCCAGAATTTTTATGAGTCATCTTTTGGTTGCGCAAGTGTTTATTGCTCAATTTATTGTCAATCCAAACAGTCCTACAGATTTCTTTTTACAACAAATCAAGAAAACGAAAAAATTTAGATTTCTGCAATGTCTTAGGATTGACTCATCGTATATTTTAAATTTTCCAATATGGTTCTTTTTTGCTTCTTTCAATTGATTTTCTTACATCAATGTAAGTTGAAATATTTGAAAGAGACATATCTTTATGTGGAGTATTTTTTATTCTGGAGTTTGTGTCAGATTCCTTAATATTCCCGTTATTATTATTCATTTATTTAGTTTTACAATTTTATTCTTAAGCAAATCTCTGTCTCAATATATATATATATATATATATATGTGTGTGTGTGTGTGTGTGTGTGTGTATCTTGGTTCAAATGTTAACCAAGAATTTTGTGTTAACTTTGTTAACCAAGCTCAACCAATCATATTCCATCTTTTCTTTAGGTTCAAATGTAACTCATATATTAACTGCAAGCGTAATTAGGTAATTTTTCATTTATGTAACTCCCAAATAATTAATTGGGAGTTACAAATCTGAAAAATCTCACTAGTTGATCATGATATAATATTGAATTGGTTTTCATACATGTTCATGTTTCTAATTTACAAATGATGTTCTACCTATAATGATATTGATTTTGTAAGTGTAAAAGATTTCGATATCGTCCGAGTAATATGGATAAACCTATTGTAAAACAGATCGACAACAATGGAAATGAGAAAGTTAAAATCGTCCATGACTACATTCGGAATTCGAATTCCGATAATGAAGAAAATGATCAAAGCATTCTTATTGGTAAGTGATTAGTATGACATTTGAATTCGTTTAAATGAACATATATCAAAGGCAATAGATGTTCATATCGATACATATGCACAATCACATCACATGAATATGAACAATATATGTGATTCATGTGAACACAAGCTTCGTAGGTGTTCATGTACATACAACAGAGTTGACTCCTAAATATACAAAAGATATTCATACGGTTCACATGTTGTTCTATGTCTAATCTTTTTTGTTTGATGTGTTTTGAGGATATACACAAGTTGTTCATATGTCTGACAACTCATGTATTAAAGATAGATTACTTTTTACCTAGATACCCTTTGATATTTTGTTCACATATGTATATGGTATCTTACTCGAAGTCTCACTTGTCAGATTCCATTGTGGAAGACAAAATTTTCTGAAGAATTCGTCATGATCCATACATAATATCATGAAAAGGTCGGGACCGTGGTTGTACGTCTCCGGGTTGCCGGCCTATCTTCTTTCTCTCTCTCTCTCTCTCTCTCTATATATATATATATATATATATATATAATGATGATGAAAGGTTTACGTACACATGGATCTTATGTGGTTTATGCATACTACTTGTATATTGGTTTTCAAAAATTACTAATTTTCATATTGTACGTTACGGTGCAAACCTCTCCAACGTTCCAAGGTACTTTTCCTCTTCTTCGGTAATACCATTGATATAACCTAAAACCCAATCACTCGTGGCCGTAGATCATGATGCCCTAAAACCTAAATGATTGTCAGTCGTTTTAGCAACAAAATGATATCTTTAAGTTCACCGAGTCACGTTACTTTTCCATAAACAATTACAATTTTTATCAATGAAGATGAAGATAGGTCCACCAATACAAAACATGGCAGTATTGCATTGATATCTTATTCAGCAAGGGCCTTAATCTTGTTAAAATATCATCTAATATACCAAATTCATTAGTGAATACGATATCAATACAAAATTCAGGATTTTAAGGTAGTGAAAACCCTTCCAAATCAAGAACAGACATAAACTGTTATAAAAAAGATACCATATACATATTAAGCACTAAGCAAGCAAAGACTGGATGCAGAGTAAATATATACTGATTACAAGGATATGTATATATATATAAGGGATGTTATATACTCACAATAATCTTGTTAGAAGATAATCTATCATAGCAAATTCACTAGTGAATAAGATATCAAAACCAAATTCATGATTTACAAAGCAGTGAATGTTAGATCACATTAAGAACTTTCATTGTTCATATGATGATTTGGAATTGGAAGTGCAGATTTGATCAATATAGGAATACGTTTAACAAAACATGTTTTCTTGTAAACTTTCAATCTTATGAACACAAAGTACAGGGCCGTTCACCTAAATGCTTACCCGGTAAGCACTTATCGTTAACAGTCTAACACTATAATTTATTTTACCGGGTAAGATTGTACTACATCAAAATAGTATCCTATGCAACCATGTACCCGGGTAAGAGTCGTCCCTCTCACTTACCGAGTAAGACTCTCCATCTTTTATCATTGCTCCTAATGTAGATATATGCATCAAGAAAGCAACAACTGAATGCTGAAAGAGTAGAGTCTCAAGTTGAATATATAAACATAAATAAGGGTATATACAACAAAAAAAGATGGAAAATAAAGAACAAATAGGCACACCAAAGAGGCACATACACCTATATAGTTATTTATGCTGTCCAAATTGTAATAACCATGATCAAGAAAAGCAAAAGAGATGATCTTTACTTATTAGGATTCAGAACCATCTTACCCTCAGGGTTGACCACCAAACCAGGGCCTTGCCTCACATCAGTTGGGGCCATCACCTGTTGATAGGGGGAGTTCATCCCCTGTGACGTTGTATAATAAACCTGCCGGCCGGTGGCGTCAATGCCAACTTGACCATACCCGAGCTCAGCCTGTGGCCTCACCACTCCGATTGCTTCTGGGTATGTTCCAACTTTGGTTTGCTGAATTGGGGGCTGATTCATTGTGCTGTACATAGGTTGTTCCCGGTAGAATTCAGGTGGATTACCCATCCTCTGCATCCCATAGTAAGCCTGACCTTGACTGACCTGACCAGTCGCCTGTCGGAGTGTCTGAGCTGCCGGCGGAGCTTGTGCCGGAGGAGTTGGAGACGGATAAACACCAGTCGAGGATGGAATTAGATAAACCGGAGAGTCGTTTCCGGCCACTGACATCGGGTAACCACCGGTTGTCATATGTCGTTCCTGCCAATACCGTGGTTGACCGGTGGCTGCAGCCGGTTGAATTTTCTGAGGGTAATAGTCTCCGTAATAAGCCCTAGGATCGATGTTAATGGCTTGTTCATGACTGGCGGCTATCTGCATTCTTTGAGATTCCTGGATCTGTCTCTGAATCTCCACCGTCGGTGAAACAACCGTATCTCCGACGACGTGACGATTGCTATTACTATCCTCCGAACCACACTCCGATCCCGGACGAGTGGTATCTGAAACGTTTGCCTGTGGCACGACAACGGCGGTGACATCCTGCACCTTCGCCTGAGCCGTTACAGGCGCATTTCCTTTATCAAATCCAAAGAGATAATCAGGATTGTCCGACGCCGGCGAAGAAGACTGCCCCGACGAGATCTGAACGGCGTTCAACGCATCAACGAACCACTGCTGCTCCGTCTTACTCTCACCACCACCACCACCACCAAAAGTCGCCGGAGATAAAGAAAACATAAACAACCTAAGCCTCACCGGCTTAGCGGAAGAACGAAAAATCCGATCATATTCGGTCATCATATGTTCCAAATCTTCATCATTCGTAACCGAGATCAACGCATCTAGATCTTCCCCAGGCAACTGGTATTTAAAACAAATATCCGACGAATCGGAAAGCGAGTTGAGTTTATGTAAAATCGAACCGTACCTAATGTTACGATCCACGGTGAGGATTTTGGTATCACCACCGATATAAGTGAGTTGATTATCATGTGGCCGTGGAAGTATCTTACCGCCATAGCTACACATAAGTTTAACCTTGTAATTGGAAGAAGCGTTGTTATTATTATTAGGGTTAGGGTTGTTGGCGACTTGTTCATCGTACGAGGCGGTTTCGCAATCGACTTCCCGGGAGCGAGGAGTGGAGGTGTTGGAGTCTGGGTATGAAGAATATGAGTAATTATTCTCCATTTTTGTATATGATCTTGAAGGAATTTTAATGGCGGACGGTGGTGGAAAGGTAACGGTTAAACGGAGAGAAAATAATGGAAATGGCGACCATTGAAGGTGGTGGATGAGAAGGTGGATTGGAAGAAGGTGATAGGTGTATTTTCGTTTTTCTCTATTTAGAGCATAATTATAGGTGGTATTGTGGAGCCCACATGTGTTTTTTTTTTTAAAGAAAACTACAATTTTGGTCCTTGTAGTTATAAAAATATGAAAAGTGTACTTAAAATGTAGTAAATACTGAAATAGTTGATACAGTTTGTATTATTCTTCGAAAATGGTCCCTTGACCAAACACCGTCAACTTCAAAGTTGCTAAACTGTCGATATTAGGGACAGTTTTCGTCTTCTCTTTAGCTGTTTTCTTCTTATTTAAGACCATGTTTAACCTCCCACTGATCTTACATTTGCTTCATTTCTTCTGAACAGATCATGTGGATTACAGGCTATGGTGGTGCGTCGATTATTGTGCGAACTCCATGAACTAGTACAGGTTCTGATCATAGGTTCTATGGTTATACAAGAACGGTGCATGTTATAATTTGATAGAAATTCGAATTTGGTGTGTTAACCTGTATCTTTTCCATCTTCGTTTGGAAATAGGGTTCAAACTGTAATTTTATTGGTTGGTATGATCTACAAATGTGTCCTTCAGTTGTGGAGGTCATCCTTGGTAACAAAGTTGTGATTTTGAAGTTGTTATTGGTTGTCAGTTGTGATCAAAGCAAGATGGATGAAGCAAATTGGAACACGATGAAGATTGTAGAAGGATTTCGAATGTGATGTTCGATGGGTTTCTCACAAGGACGACGCTTGAAACAAGGATTTCTTGAGCAGTGTCAAAGACCAAAAAGTATGGTTAAATGAGAGGGAAACAGTTAAAAAGAAGAAATTTCATCAGAACATCATGATTCATGCGTTCTCACTTACGAACACGAAAGTACAAATACTACAATAGCCATGGAGTAGATGATGTAACCACCTATCAGAACATTTAAACCTAATAACTTCGATAACCATACCTATTAAAAAATATTAAAAAAGAAATTTTGGTAAGTACAAAACTACCCTTTAACTATTAACTAAGGCATGTGATACAACAATGAAAGAATTCTAAGGCATGTGATATAACAATGAAAGAATTTGGCATTTGGTTGGATATATCAATTTGTATAGTTAACAATATTTAAGTAGTTAACAAATGATTGGGGATCTCTCTCTCTCTTTATATATATATATAGGAGGGATATTTTGCAAACCAAGTTATTTGTATAAACCGTGAAAGCTGTCAATTTCATCGTTATTTGATTTTTTTTTCATGAAGTTATTTAATATGATGAAATTGTTTCAAATTATTATGGACATTATCATCTTCATTCTATTAATTTTAGTAAACAAATTTCATCAGAATCGAGAAATACATGAAACAATTTAATTTTAACATAGAAACAAAAATATATGTGATAACTGGATCTTGGTTATCACCCGAGGTAATAAATACGTGATTATTTGTTACAAAATGTTTATGTAACATCATGATAAATTGTTATATTTGATCATGCTAATGTGTGTGGAAATTATGTGCATATATGTATGAGACTATGTGCATATGTAGAAGTATATATATATGTGATTATACACACATGCATGTTATGAGAATGCATGGTGTGTCTGGATGTATGCATGTGCATGAAGTGGGTTAGCATGGGAAGGGGGTTGTTTAGCCGACCTTCCAGTTTTAGAAAGATATAAAAGGATGGCTTAGCCTCCATTTCTCTTCTTCTTGCCATTTTTAAAAGTGTGCGATTTAAGGATAGAGAGAGAGTTGACCGAATTTCAAGTATCTGATTTCAAGAAGATGGTTTTCAAAAGGCTTGTTAAGGTGAGTAATTTCTAAACCTTTTTGCATAAAACTTGTTACTGATTTTATTTTAATGTTATTTACTATTGGAAATAAATCAGTTATTTGCTTAAGGGTTTTATCCGGACAAAGGCTGACCGGATTAAGTTTAAATCGGACAAGGGTTGGGCGATTAAGCCCTAAACCGACCAAGCGTTAAACGGTTTAGTTTTAAACCGGTTAAGCTTTGAGCGAGTTATGAATGATAAGAATGGTTAACATTTTGAACGGAGAAGTAGGAATACGATCATGTGGTGACCGGATTAATTTTTAAATCGGTCAAGCTTTGAACGATGTATTGTCCGGACTTTTTATCCGGACAAAAGATGGAATTTATTTCTAAGTGTTAAATCGGACAAGCCTTGGGCGATGAGTTGTCCGGATTTGGTAAACCGACTAAGACTTGACCGGAGATGAAGTCCGGCCAAGTCTATGTTGACCGGATTTGAGTTGTGCCTTGTGCTCGAATGATAGAAATTGTTATTTTATCATAAATGGGAATTTTGATATAAATGATTTTGGATTGATAATAATTTCAATGGCTGCGGTCTATTTAGAATTATTTTGTGAAATGTTTTGATGAGGAAATAGGGTAGCATATCAAGGAGAGGTGTACATTTGATATAAGGGTGACATTTGTATGTGTGTTGTATGATATAACTCTTTCTATTATATCCTTTAAGACTACCTTGGTCTGGAATCTTTATTTCTTTGTGATTTAAGGATTTAGGATCAAGGTTCTTATTGGAAATCATAGTCTGAATGTTATTGAGGAGAAAACTTCAAGTTTGGCCTGAAACTTTATATAAACCTTGTTTGATTAGAAAAAGGTTTAAAAGTGACATTATATGAAACCTGATTGGTTCAAAGGTATGATATTTGAATAGCTAAATGCTTAGCTTGAAAAGTGGAAAGGATTTGGTATTTTGTTCCTATTCGTTCATATATTTGTTATATATATGAATAGTTGTTTTTCATAAAGGTTTTGGTGATTTTCACCCTGCAATATCATAATAGGGTATCTCACTAGACCTTTCGGTCTAACCCTCGTTTTGTGATTTTAACTATGTATTGCAGGAGGTTCGGACGGTAAGGGAAAATGGAAAATTTGATATTTTTTCTATACGCATTTCTACATGAAGATCTGTCTTGATGTATAGTTTTGATTGATTAGTA